CAGGCCTGCAGCCGATGCAAGTGTCGGGGGTGGGGGTGGGGGTGGTTCTCTGCCGCTGCCGCCCTCCACAGCCTGCGTCCGCCCTCACTTGCACCCCAGGTGGCAGCCTGTTGTCTCGGGCGGGCACTGGCGACGACGATTTTGAGGTGCCCTGGGGGATCCGCCCCTTGCTCTCAGCAGCATCTGGGCCTTCGGTGGGGGGTCCGTCTAGCCAAGCCCCCTTTCCTTCAGTGCTGCCCCACCAGAGACGCTCCCCGCTGGCCTGGGAGCCACCCTCCCCTACGCTGGGCTGCTGCCCCACACGGGCAGACCAGTCAAACCTCAGCAGGGCTCCCGCCTACCTGCCTCTGTCCCCGGCCTAAGCTGACCAGGTCGCAGCACCTGGTGGCCCGGCCACAGTGCATCACCCTCCACTGCCCTTTCCTTGGGGCCCACCTTGTAGCCAGCATTGTGTCTGGAGCACCCGTGAGGGACTTTGGGTCAGTGTCAAGGGCCCTCACTGCAGGGGCCTGAAGGGGGCTGAGGGGAGACCCAGGGTGGAGGCTCACTGTGTCTTTTCTCTCATGCCATCCCTGTCCACCACGGCTCCAGCATCTCGTAAGTACCCGGTGTGACTCTGTGCCTCAGGGTCAGCCACTGTCCCTGGGGAGACCCTCTGCCCTGGAGTAGGTTTGGGCAGGCCTTGTCTGTGAGCGAGTGCTGTTCCCATGGACCCAGCTCCCAGCAGGCACTGAGGCTGCAGCAGGGCCTGGCGGGAGCCGGGCCTCAGATGGGCAAGGTAGACTGGACACCTCTGCCTGGTCCGCTGTCCTGGATGCCCTGCTGGGCCCCTGTCCCCGTGTCTGTGTCCCTCCTGCCTCCGGCCCAGGGCGGTGCTGACTCGCGGTGGTTTCTTAGGGTGTTCAGGGGCTACGCGGAGAGGAAGCGCCGGAAACGGGAGAATGATTCCGCGTCTGTAATCCAGAGGTAGGGCCTGCCAGCGACTCGCCACCAGGGTCCACCTCTGGTCTGTGCTGGCCTGGCCTGGGCCCTCCCGGCCCCGGCAGACCTGATGGGGAAGGGTGGTGGCGACCACTGGCCTGGCCCTGCTCTGGGGACGTGGCAGGCAGGACAGGCCGGGCGGCCGGGCTGCAGAACGCTGTCTCACCCCCAGGCCTGCACTCGGAGGGCCGTTGACAGTGGAGCTGCAGCCAGCAGGCCCACCCGGCTCTGTCTGGGCTGGGACCAGTGGCGAGGCCTCCCTCGCGCTCTCCCACCCGCAGCAGAGACGCGTCTGCGACGCCTGTTTGTCCGTCTCGGACCCTGCGCCTTGGCGGGATGCTGCTGGGGGAGAGAGGTGGCCCAGGGCCGAGAGTGCGCCCAGTGGCAGGAGGGACGCCTGCAGGCCCCAAGCCGACCTCGGGTGGCACCCGCAGGGGCGCGGGCCTGGCTGCA